GCGGTGTGGCTTGAGGGTGGGAGTGATCCCACGACAGTCAGCTGGAGTGTGGAGAAGTTGTGCTCCTTGCCAGCCTGGTGTGGGGTTACCACCTTTACTGCCGCCTTGTACCCATTCTCCAGGAGACCCATGGCTTCATCGAGGTCCTTCGTGCAACAGGCCTGCCCCCGCAGTTGGGCGAGTGACGCCTGACTGCGGGGCACATTGCCGTGTTCCGGCAGGGGCGAAATCGAGCTCGTGGCAATTGCATGGGGTCCCCTTGAGTTATAAGCTCCCCCTTCTTGGCAGGCGCGGCGGGGCGAGTCAGTGTGGTCTGGTCCGGAGTGGCCCGGGAAGGACCGTGGGCTCGTTTCGTTGTTTGCCTTTTCAGTTTTCGCCGCCTCATGGATTCCCGACTTGGGGGCTCTTCTTCAGATTTGGGCTCCAGGTGTTGGGGGCAGGTGTTGCCTTGCTAACCATGGCGGACCCCTTGGGTGTTTACGCGGCAGAATCCTTGTCTGCAGCGTCTGCACCAGAATCCGCGTACACTGCTCTCGGAGAAATATCCCGCCAGCGCGCAGCTCAATGGAGGCACCAGCATGGCTTTGAGGACGACCGAGACTTCGCGTACGCGTTCGGCAGTTATGAAGAAGCTCGGGCGACGGCGGGGACTCTGGTTGCAGAAGAATGGGCCGCGATTCGGGCCAGTGATTAGACTGCCCTGCTGGGAGATCTTGCGCGCTCGGTGGAAGAGCGTACTCCCAATCGTCGGGCGCGGCGGACCTCGACCTTCCTCATGAGAATGGCGGCTAAAGGGCGGCGTGTGCATGAGCGGCCGCAAGCTCAGGAGGAGGCTCCGAGTAAGGAGCACATCGAGGCCCTGTCGGAAGCGTTCTTCTCTTTGGGGGGCGCTGAAGCCAAAGGGTCAACTGACCCTTAAGCTGGAAGAAGAGTGGAGGGCGGCCTTGCGTCGCAGAGTGTTGAGTGCCTTGGGAGATCGAGGTCACCGGATGATCTGATGTGCATCAGATCGGTAGACCTTTCCCCATTCCTGTGAAGGGGACCCGGGTGTGACCCGGTGATACCAATGCTATTACCCCCTGGGTGTCAGGGGCTTCACTAGTTGAAGACCAGGGACCATCGCTGTGCTGAGGAAAATACGGAGCTGTGCGGAGTGAAGCCTACATGTCCTCGGAAATGATTACATGTTTATGTGCACACCACAGGTCATGTATTTCGTGTGTATACACGTATGCATTATGTATATATGTGTATGTGTATGTGCATGTGTATGTGTACTATGTATGTCTGTGTGTGTATATATATATAATGAATAAATGTCCACGTCTTTATTCGCTATGTCTCTCTAAGTATCTGCTATGTGTACATCTTTTTATATAGGTATGTATGTGCACGGGTATATACATATGCATATGCAAGAGCGCTTTCCTTTTGTGCATGTTTGTGAATTTACAAACACATATAGATATAGAAGCCTGTTACCTCATATTTGTCATACCATCGAGAGAGTGTGTGTGCGTGTGTTTGTGTTCTGCTGGATCTCAAGCCTGTCTTGACGCAGGTACGATGTTCAGAACTGGGCGATGCAAAATATGAGGAAAAACAGGGTTGATGATGGATCCTACGGCAACCAATGTGGGGAGTGCGCTCAAGGAATCTACGTGGATTGCTTTGTCACAGACTGGGGCTGTGAGCCCTTTAGCCTCTGGCAGTTAGAGGGCGATGGGGGGCTTTCCGGCACCTGCAACAGCGGGCCTGTGACACGGAGCAGCAAACGATGGCTCGAAGCTGGCTTGCACCCGCTACGCATCGAGTATTTTCAACGCGGCGGAGATGCTAAACTGCTCTTCAGATACTCTGGACCAGATACACAGGAGAACATGATCGTCGTGCCAAGGCAGAAGTTGGGCTTCCCAAGGTACATTGGGTTCATGAAAGAAGTTTTCGATGTCTCGGAGGATGACCCGACGATGCTGCCACCTGCTGCTAATTTGGGCGCAGCTTACCCGAACGCAAGACTGCTCTACCGAATGGACGACAACTTCCAGAACACAGGTCCCGGTGAAGGAGACTTGAGTGACGAGGTGGAGATGCTGGCCCGACCGCTCTACATCCGCTGGCATGGCTATTTCCTCATTGCAAATGGTGGCGAGTATATTTTCCGAATCCGATCGGACGACGGCGGCCGCCTGACCATGGGTGGTCGGGGTCTTGGCGGAGAGTCCGCGGTTGTCACGAACGATGGCCTGCAGGAAGGGGCCTCCACGCAGGACTTCCGCCTCTTCATGCTGCCTGGCTTGCACCCTGTCCGGATCGAGTTCTTCTGGAAGCCGGATGCCAGCCCTGTCGTATCCGTTGAACGGCCCCCGGGCATCCAGGTACTCGGACCCAACGAGTAATCAGCCTTGTAACTGTCGGATGTTCTTCGGGGTCGTCGGGGGTCAAACTTCCAAACATGTAGGTGCTGTACTCGGGCTTTGACACGGGTGGCTACTTCCTCTCGGTAGCGCGTGACAGAGCGGGCCGGGTCACACAGAACGAGTTCGACTGTGAGCTGAGGCCGAGCCGGGCAGTTTGGCAGAATCTTGAGATATGACTACAATAGTTTCGGAGGTGCTTGAATCTTTATGTCCTGAGTTTCCAGAGTCCCTGTGAGGCGTTTCAGCTGGGGCAATGGCATGTCCGTCTCGCGTGACTGCCAGGCCGCGCAAGATTCGGCGATGACTTTCTCCTCCCCTCTCTCTCTCTCTCTGCCTGTCTTTCTGTCTCTCTCTCGCTCTCTCTCTCTCCCTCCCTCCCCAGTTGTCGCTTTGCCCGGCCTTGCTCTTATTAACTGCTAATCTTAGCTCGCTCGCTCGCTCGCTCGCTCTCGCTCGCT